TTGAGGACACTTTTTAATTGGCTCAAAGAGAGAAGTGGCCCATCTTGTTATGTACTATCATTGCCGATACCTATAGGTATCTAAGTATCGAGTATCTAGTATCGATACCTGCCCATCACTACTTGACAGGAGGCGGTGACAACAAGGTCGCGAGCCACCGTTTACACAACAGAGACGAAGGAAAGAAAATCTGGAGTGGATCAACTTATCAGTGAATCCATTTGTCTTTTTGGGGCACCTTCACATCGGCACCCAGTGCTTTTTGAAAGTTGACAATAAATATTACGGTGCAGCCTGTCTACAACGACCTTCTATATACATGTATATATAACGAAATCCTCTGTATAGCGACATGGTGCCCAGGTCCCGATTTGTTTCCTTATATATCCATAGTAACTTTTGCTCTCTAGCTCTATGACGACAACTCTCTATATCGACATTTTTTTCTGGCCCCGACGATGTTGTTATAGAGAGGTTGCTCTGTAATTAAGATTTACTTGAAACTGAACGAAAATTATTAGCACAAAAAATACCTTGCCTTGTCCACTCAATTGTCCAGCCGATAAAAAGTGATCGGCTCCGCCGGTCTTACCCAGTTAACGAATCGTACCTGTTTATATCAAATACTGTGCGTGCGTGCGTGTGTGCGTGCGTGCGTGCGTGTGTGCGTGCGTGCGTGTGTGCGTGCGTGCGTGCGTGTGTGCGTGCGTACGTGCGTGCGTGCGTGCATGCGTGCGTGCGTGCGTGCGTGTCTGTGTTAGTTTCGATTTTGATATCGACACGATTTAGATTTTACAGAAAGTGGGCTTACACTCTACCCGTCGTCAGGGTGAAATTGGGCTAAGATGGATACAATATCCCAGCTTAGATTTTCCTAGACAGTCTTTAACAAAAAAAACATTTTAAAAACCTCCAAAAAGTCCGTGTTGGGGATCAGCCTCGGGTGTTTTGCGTACGACGGCCTACCGTTGTGTCTAACCGCTACACATCAGAGACGCCTGTGTGCTTCTCTGTATTTAAACAATCTCTCTTTCTCTCTCTCTCTCTCTGT